AAATATTTGGATCTAATAATTAAGAAATTCCCGTCAGACACTCAGTCAAATTTCAGTCGTGGTCATGATGATTATGAGGACTACACTCCGAGTGAAGACGCCCTCTCTAAGAGTTCTTTAGAGAAACTTTATAAGAAAGTAACGAAAGCTATTCGGCTCTCAAACTCAACCAAAATGTAAGGAAGTGATTAATAATAATAATAATAATAATAATAATAATAATAATAATAATAATGTTTATTATACAAGTACATGTATCTTTCTCACTTCTCTCTCTCTCTAGTCAATGGAGTTCCCTTGCTGAGCAAACTCTTGATTTGGAGGACATTGAGACTAATAAAGGCTCTGGTAGCAGGTAAGGATTTGAATCCATTCATTACAGCTGCTCTTACACTGCACCCTCTCTCTCTCTCTCTCTTATTTAGAATATTCAAATCTTCAGTCAGAGGAAAAAAGAAATTCTTTGATCATCCATTCATTCGCAGTATAGGTACATTGTACTTATTATTAAAATATTATTTTCAGCTCTCCCTCCTCATAGAATGGTTTTGGAAGGTTGTATTCAAGCGATGGGTCTACATAGCTATTGGAATCCTCCTCTCTTTTCTCTCCTTATGTATCGTCTGGTCCCAGGTCGTGTTCTCTCTCCCTCGATTCTCAATATTTGCACTGTTAGTGTACGCCAGCCATCAGATGGGAAGATACAGTGCTATTGAGGTATAATGTACGGTAGTAGGAAGACGTAATGTAACACATTGAAGCTTAAAACATATGGAATTTAGTCTATATCCTTAATAAATACATATATCTTATATTGTATATTTAAATACAATTATAACTATTTTTATTTTTGGTTAAAAGTACATGTACATGTAGCTATATACTACTATACTATTAAGTATTAAGTATTATGCTGATATTTTTTCTCTTTTTTTCTCTTTTAGATTCTCTCTGTGCTGGTGGTAGCGTATCTCAGTTTCTGTGCCTACTATACAGTTTTTAAGATCAGGATTTTTAATCTGTACTTCCTCTCCCCTCAACACAATACTGACGAATATTCACTACTTTTTAGTGCAGTGTAAATACATATACATGTACTTATACATGTATATGTATATGTACAATATACAATGTACATGTACATGTATACCCTTGTCCTTTTAGTTTATAATTTGATCTCTTCTCTCCATCTCCCTCTCTCCCTCCCTCTACTCTTTTCCCTCTCTTCCTCTCTCTCTCTCCTGCCTATATTACATGTACATGTACATTATAATAGTTTAGTAGATGTAGATGTACACTTGTTACTTTCTCTCTCTCTCTCTTAGTCTCTTAAGTCGTTTGGCTCTCCCCATCTGTCTCAATTACCTCTACATTATTCAAGTCGTTAGACTAGAACACCACGAAGAAGACGACCAAATCCCTACCACAGCTTTTGCAGAAGTAAGCCACGCCCTAACCACGCCCATTAATGACCACACCCCTCACAGGCAACAGGTAATACGCAGCTGATACCCTGGCTGACCAGTTATGCTTACTGGATGTACCCAGTATTGATACTGCTCGTTTGTATAGCAACTCTGTTTTCACTGGGTAGTAGATTAGCGTCTTTGCTCGGGTATCAAAAGTTTATGGGTGAAGACGATTTCTCTGCAGATTATATTGACGAGGGGAAAGCACTCATGAAAAGAGGTGATGTCACATTACATCATTTAGTGATGTCATATTGTGTCATTTGATGATGTCATGTGACATCGTTTTGTGTCATTCAATGATGTCACATTGTGTAATGTGATTGTTTTTTGTGTAGAGAGAAGACTTCGGGAGAAAAGTGTGAGAGAATGTGGGCGTGTCCTTAACAAGCAGGTACTTAAAGTAACGTAAAGACACTGTAATGAAGACGATTCTCTCTCTCTTCATCTCTCTCTCTCTCTGTCTCTCTCTCTCTCTGTCTTCTCTCTCTCTCTGTCTCTGTCTCTCTGTCTCTCTGTCTCTCTCTCTCTCTCTGTCTCTCTCCCTCTCTGTCTCTCTCCCTCCCCCTCTCTCTCTCTCTTAGTTGCATGAAGAGCGTCTATCAGAGATATCAAGTGAGGATAAAGACACTATGAAAAAATGGAGGGAGCACCGAACCAAACGAATAAACTCCCTCGAAGAAGAGGAAGGTCATATCGACAGGTTGTGGGGTAAAGCAAAAGGTTTTGCTTCTCGTAAGAAAGTATATCTACCTAAAGCAAGGTTTAAATCAACCGGAGGTGGGCGGAGCCAAGACGGCGAAGACGATGGAGACACGTTGGAGCTATTGGAGGAGATACCGGCATCAAGGAATGGCTATCGGAATACTGGTGGGGGTGGGACGGGCATTAATAGGAATAAGGGGATTTTTGATGACTTGTGAGTGGGCGTGGATGGTGTGCAACAATTAACAATATTTATTATTTTACAAATCTGCATATAATCAACTGTTTTAATTACAATAAAAGTGAGTATGATTTTTGAGTCAATAAATTTAAATTTTAGCTATAATTTGTGTGGGCGTGGTTATAACTACGCCCCTCCCATAATTGGTGGGTGTGGCTAAGAGTAGTAATTAGCGAACTTGGTGCTTTGACACGATTCTCTGTTTCTTTCCTTTTGATGGACTACTTATTGCGG